TTTTTCTAATATTTTTGTGGAACCTCCTGTGCTCCAGCTTGTACCCATTGTCCCTTGTCCTGTCACTGGACATCCCTGAGCAGAGCCTGGCTCCGTCCTCCTGACACTTCCCCTTGACGTATTTATAACCACGACTGAGGTCACCCCTCAGGCTCCTCTTCTCCAGCTGCAGAGCCCCAGCTCCTCCAGCCTTTCCTCCCCAGGGAGATGTTCCATCCCTCCATCATCCCTGGGGCTGCGCTGGGCTCTCTCCAGCAGTTCCCTGTCTCTCTGGAGCTGAGGGGCCAGAACTGGACACAAGATCCCAGATGTGGCCTCACCAGGGCAGAGCAGAGGGGCAGCAGAACCTCTCTCGACCTACCAGCTACTCCCCTTCTAACCCACCCCAGGAAGCCACTGAGCCTTAGAAATCTGGGAACTGTATTTGCCTAACCTGTGTGATCATTCTAAGCTTACCCAAACACAAAGAGATCAGCACTGGAGGTTTTTTTCACTGCCCAGCACTCATCAGAAACATTCGGCCATTGCAAAAAGGAGAAGTCAATGAAAATCCTTTCCCACATCTAATGGAGGAGGATGAGCATCACTAGGCTTAAACTGGAGTCAGGAACAGCGCTGTGTCTAAGAACAGCTTAAAAATAAAATCTGCCTGGGACAGTCTGAGCAGAACAGGCCCTGCTCTGGAACAGGTGATGGGGTAAAACATCCCCAAAGATCCTTTCCAGGCTCCCCATTTTTAAGGGCAGTAGTGTGCCCCGAGGCAAGGTGCCTCCCACACTGACAGCAAAGCCAGGGGAAAGTCAAAGGGAGCAGCGCAGCCTTGGAGGGAATGGCAACAGGAAAGCCCAATCTCCTTGCAACAGCTTGACGTAGGTATGCTCTTATACCTTCAGTAATAAATGTTTCTCAGCCAACTTAATCCTCAGATGCCCAAGGGAAAAACCACCCCCAGTCTTCAACTTCTTAGCCCAGAACCAAAACTTTGTCTCCAACCAGAGCTACACTCAAAGCCCAATATTTTGTTCTCTGATCCTTGAAACAGCAGCAATCGGGGTCATTCTGTGCATCACAAAACTGTAACATGCACCAGTTTTGCCTTTTGTCACCATATGACCTACTTTCGAAGTTCCTCCCTGGATGATTAAGACGGGAAAAAGGGACAAAGCTGACAGAAAAGCACAAGGTCTTCTGCACGCAGTTAAAAACCCTGTGTAAAAATAGCCACCCACCACCTCCGATGCACTGCACCAGCTTAACGCTAACCTTTTTTATTGGTCGTGAAGTATTTGGAGTCCGTCATGGTTCCAGTTCCTTAGAACACCTGAAAATAAAAATAAAAAAAAGAACAAGCAGTCAAACAGCATTCGGCGCAGACAACACCCAGTCTGCAAGGCAGGAACTCGGCGACAGGATGGTTGGCAAGCACATAACGCAAGGGAAGAAGCAAAGGCTCTACAGCCACAGCCACCAGTTCCCCAACCTCCGTTCTGCACCTGCGACTGCTGCTACTTGGCAAACCCAGGATAAAGGGCTCACATGAACAATGTCAGTGGAAACACAACAGCCTGAGGCAGACAGGCTTTTTAAATACTCAGTCTGAGGAAGGGAAAAAGCAGTTTTCAACTCCTTATCATCAGCAGATTTTGATATGTTCTGCAGCTGTCTTTCACCCGGGTTCACCATTTCGTTTCCCCAAAAACACACTGCACATTTCATAGCTCCACTGGAAGCACAAGTCCACGTTTCAAACAAAGGAAACTGTCAACTCCCCCTAACGATGCTTTCCTGTGCTGCATCTTGACAGAAGTAACAACCCTACTTGGAATACCCACCCCGAGGCCCTTCCATTTCTTCCCCTTCTTTTGTTCCCGGGAGATGCAAAGCAGGTTTTTGAAAGAAAAGCCACTGCTTCTCAGCTCTCTCGAGCCTGAAAGTGAAGTCTTTCTCCGCTGAGATGTGACATCCCACCTCTGACATACACACACACACACACATTTACTCCAGTGCTACCTTGCATTTTTAGGAACAAAAGACACCGCTGGGCCAGCAAGTGCTGAGCAAAGTCCTGAGGACGGTGTCACCTGCGCTCTTCTTGCTCCACAGAAGCAAATTACTAATACCTCAGAGTACAGGGAACGCCCAAACGTATGTGGATATCACATCCTCGTTTTATTCTCACAATTGCCAGCGCTGTGACAAACGTGACTCAAGCAATTTTCAAGTACTGGCTGTAAAACAAGCAGAGCGGGGCCAGTTTTATTGCTTGTGACGAACCAGTCTGCATCAGTGCTAAGAGCTTATGATCCCAAAACCGTCCCCAGAAAGGGGTCTCCTACCTCTTCTCTCCTTTTTTGAATCTTTTCCCCAACTCTCTTTCTCTTGTACACGCTCTCACAATGACCTTAAATGCCAAACAGCAAGTCACGTGTTCCCTACAGGATGCCTGTGCTGCTCTCAATGTCAAAGGTCTTGCTTGGCTTTGAACTCCAAGACCAGCTTGTTGTTTCTTAACTCCTTCCGTCCTCCTCCCTTAGCCCCCACCACCATTCTTTTCCTCCCCTACCCACCTCGCTCAATTTAAGACCCCAGCAGTTCAAATTCGCAGCAGCAGCTGAGGGGGAACACAGGATTTCCACCGCCTTCCACATGCTCCACGGCACAGCAGCGCCGGGCAGGCATCACCTCGTCCCACTGCCAAGCAATCAGCTGAGAAACAACCCGCTGCTCAGCCCAGCTCCTGCCTGTCCCGCGTGTGCCCGCTCACCGCCTCAGCCCAGCCCCGCGGAATTACTGGGTTTGGCTGGATTTCTCTCCCTTTCGGCTCCTAACAAGCTGGAGAGCAAACTCTGCCTGGAGAGAGCTCTGGAAGCAAAGTCCTCCTGCAGGAGAGGTTTGCCCTCCTTCCAAATCAAGAGGCTGGGTTTGGAAAGCCACGTGAGCCACAACACGGTAATCTCTCCAGAGGAAAAAAAAAAAAAGGGAAAAAAAAAAAATCACAGTATCACAAAAGCAGCAGCTGGCGTGGGTCTTGTTTTATAATTCAAAACACAGCCCATGTAGTGCTGCGATGCCATTGCTGATACAGTCCTTTGGATTTTAGCCCTGCTTAAAAGCTGACTTAAATCTCTTCCTCTACAAGAGTAATTTGGCGTGGTGCCAGGCAACAGGCATTGAATGCAGCCTTGCTCTTCTCTCTTTGCATTATATGTGGATTTGTGAACGTGGGTCATACCTCCCAGCTGAGTTAGTCCGATACTGTTTTAGCAGAAGCTGGAATAGCAGATTACAGAGAAAATCCAGGAAAAAAAACCCCACAGCACAAAGAAAAACCCCAAATGGTACCAAACATGTTACGTCAGTTGCATAAAGCTACACAGAGGAAGACACCTGGCTAAATTTCAGAGATGATCTTTAAACCCCAAAGCAGGGCAGTTCACTCTTTTTCTGACTTCACATCAAGCACTTGGAAACATGAAGCATTCCAGAAAAAACACTCAGGCTCGGGTAAGGCGAAGCACAGCACGTTTCTTTACAACCTCCACTGACAGACGAAAACCAGATCTGAATTAGGTCAAAAATCAAGCGACCATATTCCTGCACAGCGCAGGAGAAAGCGTGTTCCCACGAGCACACAGATCTTTGCTTCACGTATGTCAGAGCTTGCTTTGCACATCGATCAGAGCCAGCCTGCCAGCAGAGCTGTTATCTCCTCCGCTCAGCAATCCCAGCACAGTTTATAGCAAGTCCCAGATGAAGACCAGAACCAAACCAGCCCAGACAGACAAACTGCACTGTCTTCAATAACTCAAGAAAACGGCAGCTTCTTGTACACAAAGCTAAATGGAAGAGAGCCAGTATTAATTATGATGTCATCACAAACATTTTCTTTTAGAGGTTCCAGCCAACAGCAAAAAGCTCTTGTTCAACCCCAGCAAACCACAAGACATAGAGTAGAGGAATTCCTGCAGAAGCTCTGGTAATGCTTAATGCCACAAGCATTGGCTTGACATTTAAATGCAGACTGAACCAGACTGAACAATTCAATGGAAACACTAAGGAACCTCTGTGATCAGAAAGATAAGCCTCTCCAGCCCAAAACCCCACAGAAAACTGCATCCTATGTCTCCCCTACACCTGCTCTGCCCCAGGCACGACTCCAGCGAGAGCCTGACCCGCTCCCACCCCTGATTTCACACAGGGCTAAGCAGGACGGCGGCAGTTTAAGGCCTCGCTATTGATCCAAGCTCCCCGGTATTGAAATGAGCTGCGGCTGAACCTCTAAAGCGACCCCCGGGTTAACCTGGCTGACACTCCAGCTGGGGCCGTCCTCTCTGACCTGCACCCGCTCCACCTGCCAAGTCTCTCGAGCAGCCACACGACAGGCCGAGCACGGCTCAGGGCCGCTGGAGCACCAGGAAACCAACCGGAGCGGCTGCACACGGCAAAGGGCAAGCACGGCCTCAGCGTTAGGAGCCCGCACCCCGACAGCCCCTGCTGGGGGCACCTCACGGGTTCCCCTCTCGGGGAGCAAACACCTCCTGGCTGCTGCCCACCCCAGTCCCAAGCGTCCCGTGGCTCCTGTCACCTCCTCGCTCCTCAGAGCCTCTGCCCCAGCTCTGTCACCGGCCCCCCTCTCCTGCAGCCTCAGCCGGACTCGCAGCCCCC